CTAGACTGCGGAGAGTTAATGAACAGGAACGAATCGACATGGTTCAACATGGTTCAACATACCGAGAGGTCAAGCTTGGATTCGCAAAGGTCAAGCCCTTTTCTTTGTCCTCATCAATGGTGCTCCCGCGCCTGAGCAAACCTTGCGAGGGTCGCGGCCCCTCAAAGTCTTCGTCAAGTACAGCCGCATCCTCAGGGTCAATCTCAATGCGGATGCTGCGCAGAGATATGTATCGCGTAAGCGGCTCGAAACGACGTTTAAAGTAGAAGCTGTACCAGACCGTAAATGCAATCAGAGGTAAGACAGCAATAGACTGGACAAAGGCAAGCGACAGTGCCATGATACTGGAAAGTATCACCTGCGACACGAACAGACCAAGAATAACGCGGTAACTGATGATTCTCCAGGCGCCGCCGGTCGCATGCTGAGGCTGGTCCATTGCGTAGAGCAGTTGGTATTTGTAAGTGAAGTAGCCAAGAATGAAGTAAAAGAGGCCGACGGTCAGAATGAGCCAGCCGAATCCCAATGTGCTGTACAACAGGCACAGCATGAAAATGAGCATTGCCGTCGGTAGGTAGAATCCGTAGCTGAACACAGTTGGCTGCATGATTTCGGCAAAGTCCCTGGGGGTCTTGGCGCCCATCCGGTAGATCGGGTAGAGGAAGACGCTGCCGACTTGAAGCAGCCTAAAGGGGAAGAGGCCAATACCTTGAAGCATGATGAAGTTGGTGTAGAATATTCCGAGGTCCTGGATCTGCCCGGCAATTTGTCGCGTCAGGGTAGCAGGACTTTTCCAGATATCCTGGATCTGACGAACCAAGTTGGCAACGGTGAAAGCTGCGTTGGAAGTGGCAAAGACAACAAAGATGTTGAAGAAGGTGAAGAAGAAGTTTTTGGAAATGATGGAGAGCTCCACGTCACCCTTGGAGATCATACCTTGCTCGTACGAGAGGTATTCGTAGAGATATGGCACGGCAACGTTCAGCAACGAAACGAGAAGCGTTGGCAAGCCGGTTTCGATCAAGGCACGTAGTGTTGGATATTGGTCGAAAAATCCAACAATGCCAGGGAACCACGTCTGGAAGTTGCGAACGCTTAGCAGACTAGCAATAGACGCAACGATTGTCAACCACAGCACGGAGAGGACGGCGACAAATATCGTAATGATCCATGAACGGAGGCGACGAATCCCACGAGGTGCGTACGTGTTGGGCCACATTACATCAGAAGGAGCGGGTGCGGGCTTCGTAAGAAGCTGTCCCGGTCGAGGGTCGATGCGGGCCTGGATTGCCATCTGACAAGCGGCGATCGAGTCCATCGTGACGAAGGCCAGATCGGCCGGGGTGAAGTTCTTCTTTCTCGCCTCGCGGATTCTGTCGTCGAGGCGTCGCAGCTTCTCCTCGTAGTAGTCAAGGGCGTCTATCTTGCGACTCTGAAGTTTGAGCAAGCCATACCATAATCTCACTTTGGGGCGCGGTCTCTCGACGAGTTCGGGGTTGATGTTTTCGTGCCCTAGTAATCCACCATTCTCTCCAGCCTCCTCGTCGACTTCGTCTTCTCGAGGCTCCAAGACTGAGGGCTCGGCCTGGGGGTCGCGGAGGCGCTGGACTGACTTGGGGAGCGCTGCCTGTTTTCCGAGATACACGCTCCAAGTCTCTTCAAGCTGAGCCAAAGCCTGCGCTCTTTGAGCAATGAGCGAGTCGAGCTCCCGCCAGTCGCAGCACAGATTGACATGCTCGACCTCGCCAATTTCTAGCTTTTCGATGAGTTTCTTGATTTTCCCTTCGTCGCGTAGATTTCGAGGAATGCCAGTAAGGCGGAATGTTCTGTCGGTGATTGTTGACTGTGTGCCGAGGTACTCTTGACGAACATGAATGACTCTAAAGGTCGCCTTGTTTAGGACGTAGAGGGTCAAGCCCGTGAAGAAGTAGCCAAACGCCAGCCATGCCCAGATGTAGCTCTTTGCCATGTTGAAACTCTCGTCGTCGCCGTCCGGAGCATCCCAGACCGAGTTTTCGTCGTGTGAATAAACTCCCAGAGCGCGAGTCTCCATCGCGATAGAGGCCGTAGGAGTTTTACTAGGTTTTGGTTTCGTTGGAGGGAAAGTCTCAGGTCCGAGCGCAGCATTGATGGGTAGCATCACGGTATAGGCGAAGAAGGCCAGTATAGCCAGAATGCGGATAGCCATTTTGAAGAAGGCAAGAAACTGTTCCCGTCAGATAAGTATGCCCAGTCACGAGTGGTATCTTCGGACTTACGACAAAGGCATCGAGACCGGCAGAGGCGAGGACTTGCTCCTCAGTAACGCGATAAAGTCCCGGAATCCACCCAAAGAAGGTATCCGGCAGTGCGGGCAAACCGATTTTGGGGTCCAGTCTGCGCTTGCGCGCGGCGTACAGGGTCGGCCATCGTGGGCGCAAGAAGCAGAAGGTGGTGAATGCTGTGAGGCCAAGAACCAGGGACAAACCGAGTTGGACCCAAACGTCACGATCGCTCGGTTTGATGGCCTCTGGCGGTTTGTCTTCAAACACCAAATATTCCATCTTGCGTGAAGCAGGTCTCCCCGATTCGGATGCGACTGATGGAGCTATTGAGTCGCGAGTCGTTGGGTAGAAATTGGTGATGTGTTGGAGAGACTCCAAATCGTGAGGTACGGTAGTGGGTTGAAACAGGTGCTGGGAGCTCCAGGCCCGAGGGAGGTCTCCACTTTCATCCGAACCTGTGACGTGATGATGCGTCGGGTGATTGTGGTTCTGGTGGTATTAGATAAGCAACGCCACAGTTTTAATGAGGTGGCTGGGATGAACCAGCGCTCCAGCCACACGAGGGATCGAAGGGCGCGAGTGCGCACGCTGTGCCTGCATTCTTCTGCATCAAAATGCACAAAAAGGCCCCTCAAGAGTACGGGGTGTTCCGGCAGCCCTATAAGGCTTTCCTTTTGCTATCCGGTCATGGTCCCAATTGTTCAATGAGAAGAAGAGTACGCAAGGTTGCGGCCGGCACATTGCAGATGCCGAATGAGAGGCCCTACGGCACAGCTTACTTTTTCGGCAAGCCACTTGACCTTAGATTTGATACGCGGTGCTTCAAGATACTCACCCTTTACTGTTCCTTTATCTGCAGGACAATTAGTGACGGCCAAGACGGACGGCTGCTCGGCTGCTCCCTCAAAAGTTTTGGCGATCATCGGCCCCACTGCCGTGGGGTGGGACCTAGGTAGACCGACGCTCTCCCGGCTTATTTCGGCCCTTCCACTCTGTTCACCACCGCTGATCCGAGGGAGATACTTACCTCCATTCTTGCAGGGGAAGAATTCAGAGCTCATGAAGTGAAGCTGCAGGGCTTACACAGCCACGCGGCGCTCTGTCTAGCTAGTTCTGATGCCCGGTGCTGCAGGCGAGCTGCATTTCGAACGAGCACGCCGAAAAGCTTCACCGTGAGACAGCACAGCCTCAACGAAGAAGCCGTTTGGCGGAGTTTTCCATGCTATCTCTGTTCCACGGGCAGAGTATTTGGCAGCAATTACCAAGTGCTCGGACGACCAAAAGTTGAGATGGATGGGAATTTCCGCCTCAAAATTCCACAGGTTTCAATGCGTTCCTGGTGAAAGTGCCATCTGGGCAAGCCGCGCACTGACAAGTAATGTTTGCAGTGTGCCCATCACAGACATCGGAACCATGTTCCAGCTTCGTGCATCGTGCATCGTGCATTCATACCGATTATTGGGAAGGCGGTGCATCGCGGTGTTGTACCTCTTCCTCGATTCTTTGAATGACAGTGTGGTCATCTGCAGTCGGCGACAAAGAGCTAGATCATCGGGCGCCAGTGGCTGCAGAGACTTGGCGTCTGCAGCGCGCCTTGAGTAACACCGTTTGCAGTACAGAGTTCAGAGAGGCATGGCGCCCATGGACGCAGACGATGACAACTGATGCGCCCGTCTACACATGGCCAGATATGGCTTCTGCAGAGAACAAGTCTGGATTTGGCGCATGTACCTACAAATGCTGCGGACATACTCCGTCGGAAGGGTGTTGAAGTTGAAAACAACGACATGAGAAACGGGAGCAAAGAGCAGGCAGCAAAGGGAATAAAACGTCTTGCTTCAGTTGAGACTCGGGCGAAACAGTCTGCAGGGCCACTCGAGTGCCAAGGTGCGGCCCGGCCGGGGGCGAGTGCAGCGCGGGTGGCTCTGATGCAAAGACGGTCGAAGAACCATCTCATTGTTTGATTGTTCTTGTTCTGGCTGGCCGCCGTTCTTTTTTATAACCGAAACTTCAGCAAACTTCATCGAAGCAAGGGGAGCGGCGGCCATTGCCTTTGTTATCGACGGGTCTGGATTGGTTCTCCTAGTGTCACTTTTCTCTCTTGTCAAAGTCTCAGTCTCGATGTTCCTTGTATTTGGGTCTGTAAGCGGGCATCCGTACCTTAATCGAAGTGACAAACTGCGTCCGGCGACATTTGGAGACGTTCCCAAGGTTCCTTAATACGACCGGTCCCTGCCGCCGTGGTTATTAGCGCTCGTCTTCCCGCCCCTTCCCCTCCATTTACCCAGTTCCCGCCCTCCCTTTTCCCCAGTCCAGTCCCGTCCATTCCCGTCCAGACTCCAGGCTTCAAGCCCACCGCTGCACCGCATACCCTCCCGAGTCGCTCTTTCCCGACGCTGTGGAATTGGGATCAGCCCTTGCCTTCCCATCCAATTGGACTGCACCTTCCTCCAAACCGACCTGCATTGGATGCACCTGCCTCCACGGCTTTTGTCGGCCCACAACCGGTACAAAGTACATCGAGAAAAAAAAGGAAGGAAGGAGAGGAAAAAAAAAAGAGGGAAACCACTTCCCCGGTCGTTCCACTCCTCCCGGATTCGCCAATCGACCACGAAAATTTCGGCAATTTCCAATCTTTTCTGCCCCATTTCACGAACCCCTCCATGCCCCTCTCTCCTCCACAAACTGCCCGCCGACATCGACGACGATCTCCGAGAGCAATTGAGAAACAGGGACATGCTCGACACACTCAAGATGAGCGAGACCCAATTGACCTTTGGTCGGACCGACGACTACATCTTCATCTCCAAGCCCAAGAAGGGCATCGCTTATGTTGAGGCCCGTTTTAAGGATGGCAAAGGTGTACGTTCTGCCCCGCAATGCTCATTTTCACGAGCTTTTCCCCCCAAATTTTGTCGGACAGTTGCTTACAATGAGAACAGCTTGCGCACACAGACAAGGGATGCCAACTGGTATGTTCAGTTCTCTGATATGAACCTCATTGATCCCATTTTCCGTCATCTAACGTGCCTCAGCTTCTCTCCAAGCTTGAAAGAGAATGGAGCGCACCCAAACTCAAGGATGACACTGTCATCTCACTTGAGGCTGACCTCTTGAAGGAGCCAGTTTGTAAGTTTCTTCATTCTCTTTTGGGATCGCACTGCTTACCATCAGCATAGTCCACAAGGAGATTCCAAGCGACATGTTCCACTCTCTTCGTGTGGTTGAGTTCCAAGGCCTGGATCCATCTACTCGTGTCGTCTCTATCCGCGACGTTGCCATCAAAGTCAACCTCTACGGATGCACTCCAGAGTCACCCTCTGAGTCGGATGATGAGCTGGTGGACATTCTTCCAAGCGCCACTAAAGTCGATGGCATTTGGGAACTGTAAGAATACCTCTCTCGACTATAACGTGCATATTACTGACCTTCTGGCTCTCTAGATGCTGAATCTGATCACTTACTGGCTTGGTTACTGATTAAGCTACTTCATCTGAAATCAGCGAAAGAGACGCAAATACTGAGGCCGTTTCCCGTTAACTTGGACCTGGCACTTTAGTCGATCTCTCCCGGCGACATTCCGTAATGCCGTGCTTCTCACAGGGGGGACCTCCGAGGTCCGGAAAAGCGCTCGGCCGAGAACGCCGAACACCCCATCATCAGCTACCATTGTGGGCGATGTTGAGAGCATCGACTGACATCGCGAACCCGATGACGTCGAGCCACGAGTCTGCATGGCCTATTTATGTGCATCACAGACGCTCATTCTAGCAGCCTTAACAATCTAAGGGCGCGACACGCTGTCTCGGCCAGGGCCACACACAGCATGATCGACATGCTCGACCGCAATCTCTGGCATTGGCTCTACATCATATCGACGGCATCACGACGGCATGCATTGGAGCATTGCGATGAAACTCCAATGCATGAAGCAGCAAAGGCCGACGGAAGATGAGATTCGGCAATAGGCTTTCCATCAGCTCTGATGCCATACTGCTCCCGCTGATGATGTCGTTGTCGAAATAGACATCATCGATGACTTGGATTTACACCAGCCTTGTCACGACTGTTGCTGCCAACATCAAGAGAGATGGGTGCTCCGAGCGAGACCGACGGCGAGGTCCATCAGCTTGGGTGCAGAATGAAATATACCGTCATCAACGACAGTGTATATTTGCTGACCAAGATCTAAGACCTCTTGGGCATGACGAGAAATGTAGAAGATCGATTAGACTTCCTACGGCCTTTCGACATTTAATGGGCATATGATAAACTCAGGAAGTGATGGCTGTAATCGATAGCAGTAGATGAATAAAAGGAGGAATTTCCGATCCCGGAATCTCAATACTCGCCTTGCCATCTTCCAACTAATAAACCCCGCATTGTGATCAATCTTCCTCGAGCAGTCCCTTGGGGGCGAAAGCTTTAGACTCAGGGTCTGTCTCGTCGCATTCATCCAGGGTTACTGCCCAGCCGAGACTTTTGTCTCGGCCAAGCATCCAAAATGCAGTGTCCAGAAATGCCCTACCGTGCTAGCGACTTCAGCCGCCGCGTGCCGTCCCTCACCGGTACATGATCAATCACCATATTGGTTTGCTTGCATGAGGGGTCCAGACCACTCATGGCCTGAGCTTCACCGAGCGACTCGAATGAGGTGCTTCTTACTTGTCGTTCGGTGGCTTGCGTATGTCAGTCGGTAAAGTTCCTAGCGAGTTCCCCCGCACTTGATCTAGACGCCAAGCTGAAAGCTCTAGGAACTCTGGCTTCTATTTTGTCTTGGAAAATGGCCCGAAAGCGGCATCGATCAGTAACGGGCGGGAATGGGCGGGCTGCAGCTATCGTCGACACATGCCTACCGTCGAGAGATCGTCAAACAGCAAATTACGATATGTCCTCAGCTCTTCGTGAAAGCCCTTCTGAAAGTTCGATTCACGCACATGCCATCGGAGATGCCTGATTAGCCAACAGGATCGGGATCACTTCCTGTAGTGAGATTTGTGCATCAATGACTTTTGTAAGTTTCGAAGCAGTCATGTGCATTCGGGAAGCTCATGCAGTACCGTAGAGACTGTCAAAGAACATGAGGAGAGCTTCTCGTGAAGCTCTCGAGATCTGCGGTATTGGGCCAATCGCAGTGTCCCTTCGAGCTCCCGAATGTCTCATTCGCGACAGACTTGCCCATTCCCAGCGTTCACAGGTCACAGCTATCAGCCGGCGCTAGGCAAGCCTCAAAATAACATCCAGAAGCGGGATACTCCATCCGAGATTCGAATGCGCTTCTCTCAATGTCCATGGAGATGGGCCAGATCCCTGATTGCAACATCTCGGTTTCTGCCCAACAGAACATCAGGAATTGACTCCTCATCAGCTCTGTCTCGCTCGCTTCAGCTTTCAGGTAGCCACGGGGACCTCGTTCAGCTGGAAGCCATCGAACGAAAGCGTGCATAGGAGCGCTTGCAACAACAAACTCCAAGGAGAGGGAATCCGACGGCGAAAAGCCATCTCGCGTTGTGGTTTGGGCTTTGGAAAATTCGCATAAATTGCAAGAAGAAGAACAACACACAAGGTCTTTTTCCATCACATCACAAACTATAAGATGTTCAGTCTCATCCTACGAATCCTCTCACTTCCTCTCATCCCATTCAGAAGATATCTACCTCCCTCTCCACCATCCCCACTGCCCCAACCCAAGAAACCACTTCCTCCGAAGGACAGCAACAATTCCCCTTCCGCTTCTTCTTCTTCCTCTTCCAGTTCTACTACTGCCCCGCTGGTCAAATCCACCGCCATGTACGTCTATCTCGGAAAGCTCGACTGGAAGCCTTACGGCCTGGACGAGACCTTTGTCATCACCTTGCCCAACGGTCCCGCCCGCGCCGGTGACCCTGCCTACCTCTTCTCGCAGTGGACCAAGGACGCCCGCGGCGCGCAGAAGGCCAACTGGTTTCTCAACCTCGTTGTTGACAAGGTCTCCAAGACGGCAAGCGGCGATGATGTCTTCACGCTCAAGAACTCGCACTACTACTCCTGGGAGATCACTACCCAGAAGGTCTACGGCGAGCTCAAGGTCACCATGTCGAACCCCAATAAGGACAAGAGCACCATGACTTTCAACCGTATCTGGAAGTCTGAGTCCCAGACCCCCTCCGGCTCCCTGCGCATCTGGACTGGCAAGATCAACTGGCCCAACTATGCTACTAACGAGATGGCTACCTTCATCGTCCCTGAGGGCTTCGGCAAGGATAAGCCCGTTTTGGCCGTCTGGCAGTGGACCAAGAATGGCGAAGGAAAGCCGAAGAACCCCAACGTCCACGTCGCCAAGCAAACTATCCTTTCTAGCCCCGAGAAGACTGTCAAGTTTGAGTACAACTCCTTCTATCATGTGACTTGCACTTGGCAGCAGAGCACCGAGAGACTTGCTGTCCACATGAAGGGAAGTGGAATCGAGAGCAATGTTAGCCAAGAGATTGGTGATTTCGCTCTTGCTGTTCACCTGGACCGTCACTCTCAGTTAGTATACTCTTTTCCCTTGATGTGGATATAGCTGACCATCCAAAACAGCGACTTCAGCCCCCCTGAGTCCAGTCCCGACAAGTCCGAGGTAGAGCTCCGACTTCCTCAGACTCAGCCGTCTCTGCCTCGCATCCTAGCGCCGTTGCCTTTCCCGCGCGGACTAGTCAGCACCTTGACTCACGCTCAGGCTTTCATCGACCAAGCTGGCTATCTTGCCAAGTACGCCGAGGATGTATGCATTCATTGGTCTAGTCATTTTCTCATACATTGTATGCTAACATTTAGCAGCGTTTCAAGGCTCTCGATAGCGATCTCCACGCCCGCGACAGCCAACTCGCTGCTGCCGAGGCCCAGATCCGGGAGCTCATCAAGGGCAGAGACATCTTGAACAGCGACGACAAGGTGCAGAAGGCAAAGATCGCTACCCTTGAAGACCTTCTGAAACGGGCCCACGATGATGTCAATCAGCTGGAGGCCAGGGTGACCAAGCTTCAGGATGACATTAAGGAAGGCCACAAGCACGATATTGAGGACCACCAGGAACTCGACAGCTTGAGGGATGCCAGGCTGAAGCTGAAGAGAGAGCTGGAACAGGCTCTGCCCGCCCTTTCAGCTGCAAAGGCTCGCGTCACAGCCCTCACCGAGGAGGTAGCGAAGCTGAAGGCCGAAAGAGATTCCGCTCTGGCTCAGCTTCTCGTCCAGAAGAACCTCAACAAGACTCTCACGGACGAGGTTGACGAGCTCAAGAAGGCCAACAAGAAGCTCACTGAAGATTTGGAACCCCTGCAAACGAAGAATAGAGCCCTTCAAAACGAAGTCAATCAAAACGCCGAAAACTGGGACACGTATGGCAAAGAGCTGAACGACATGCGGGTTCAAAGAGATAATATCGCCCACAAGGTCGTGGTGTGGGAGGACAAGACTTACAATGCCGTGGTGATGAAGAATGCATACTGGAGGGTTCTGAACAACCACGGGTTCCTTGGTGAGGTAGAGCAACCGGCGCTCAGGAAGATTGAAGAGCATAAGATTGTTTGATTTGCCCCGAGACATTCTTACTTAACCCCTTTCTTTTATTTGTCTCATCTTTACACTAGTAATCCTTACAGAATTAATCAACAGATTGGACTGCGCAGAAGTATTTCTTAAGAGGATGAGAGAAACAGATAATGCATTCGACGAACCTCCTTATTGTGATCTTTTGTCACGTAACAGGGATAGTAGCCGCATCTCACGGAATGCTTGTTACGTACTATATTAGGTATGTATTATATATATCTTATATACAGACCTTTCTCTTTGATTTATTTTTATTCAAATAGTTGAACTACTTAATCATAATCCGTATGCCTATGAATATGTACCATAACTCGTGACATCTTTCTCATGTCCTTTGGCATCAAGTGCAGCGCAAGGAAAATACGGTTTCATTATAATACGGCTAGTCTAGATATCTAGAAGTCGAGCTGGCTTTTAGGGTACAGAGCCGACAATATCTGACACTGCTTGAGAGAACTATGGACACGATCAAGCTGCAGGGCCTGGAATACCGCCTTCCTCCAAACCACGATTTCTTCCAAGTTTTGAGCTTGATAATCAATGCACTTTCCAAATTTTGGCGGCAAAGTCGGAATACTCTGAGCACCTCTATAGATAAAAACATCATATTTCGATGGCAGCTTGGACGGCGATGTCGATATGCTGGCATATTCTTTAGAGCCCTTCGACCTGATTCCTCAACACTGGGGCATAAGGCGCGCTGCAATGTTACACAGCATTAGTACAATGTTACCGCGTATCATGCCCCACCCCCTCAAGGAACCTCTAGTAATTCATTTCTGAAACTGAGCGAGGCAGGCTATACATACGCACCGTGCTCGTCGTGTTACCATGAACAGATAGGCGTCTTCCTTTGTTCAGAAGATGTGTACTCCACT